CCTCTGCAAACTCTTCACCCATTCTCCTCCTCCCTGCACGTGAACTGAACTCAGGCCTGCAGCGCAAGTGTGCAGGCACCTTTGTAAAGAGCTGCATCCAACACTTGTTGGGGTGTGTTGTCATTATTATAACACATTGTGTCATATTAACTCGATGTGTGTTTGTTCTGTTACACTCATCAGTATTTCAACTGTATGTGAAAGAGATTTGACGAGCGTCATCGTAGCACATACAGGAGAGCCACGTGAACTTTTATAAAAGTCATGCTGGCAGAGTGTGGGAGTTCTTATTTTTTAATTTAAAAAGAGAGTAATAAATGCTGCCTTTCTTTAACATAAAACAGTGTGCGTTTTAATTATTTCTCATTTACATTAACTTAATCAAATGGATGCAAATGAAGAAATATGTCGTATTAAATGAAAATATCTTCATACTGCAGGAAGGCTTTTTTTATTTTATGGCTTTACAGTGCAGCGATTTAATTCCAATAAATGCTCAAATGTCTACGAGTATTTATAAAATGAAATTAAATGCAGTTGCTTCACATTAGCTTTGTGGTTTTTCGAAGCGCTGTAGGACACACTGTTGTATAAACGTGACAAATGAAGCGAACTAAAGCGGAGACGCGCCATCTCTGGATGTTGCTTAATATTTAGGAATGTGCACAGCTGTTGCCCAGATGAAAGAAATGCAGCCAAGCTTTTTAAAGAACACTGATGCATTATTGTTCTCCTTCTTCCCTCTGATGATTACTGTGCAAAGACAAGGCCCAAAAAATAATCTCTGCAAAGTGAGCGCGGTGATAAAAGCTATAAAAAGCCCTGAAAGACGTCTGTTTGTGTGGCGCTGCTGTGGTGTGTGCGTGCTGAACAGGTGGCGGGTCAGCCACATTTCCACTTGACTTTAAATGCTTGGCTTCTATTAAGTTGGCCCAGTGTGTAAGGAACAAACAGCCAGCGCTGGTAATGGTTTCTGCCTGACCCGCTGACACTTTCACCCCCCGCACGCGCTCCTGCCTTCTTCTCTTTCACTCTCTCTCTCTTTCATTTCCCAGGATATTTTTTTCTCCCGCTCGTTCTCCCACCGCATCACCCCTCCCCTCTTTTCACATCAAACACTAATGTTTCCTTCAAATTCCTTTTCCTCTCCATCTGCCAACTTTGACATCACAGGAAATTACGCTTAGAATTGGCGGCACAGTTTTCTTTTTCCGTTCCTTTCCTCGTTTCGACTTCATTCCACTTCCACCGAGCGGACGTATTTTTTTCCTGTCATCCCCAAGACACCCGCCCCCTTCTTCTACTTCCTCCTTCCTCCCCTCCTTCTTCTGCTAATATATTTGTCCTGGCTCCCATCACTCCACACACACCTCCGTCGCTGCTTTACATGCGCGCTCCGTCTCTCGGCCTCTCTAACACACTCAAACTGTCTCACACGCATGCAGACACAGCATGACACTAACTACACCTAATGCAAGTTCTAGGCTTATTTGCTGGAGGCTCGTCGGGGTGGAGAGGATGTTTTTTCCTTCTCTCTGAGACATCAACATCGAGACCGGCGTCTGTGCGCGCCTCCCGTGGCTGGATTAAGGAAGGAAGCCACGAGAGGAGAATTTAATTGGTGAAATGCATTGTTAACAACGTGCTGGTGTGTGTACGTGCACGCACAATTGCATCGGCACGCCTGCACATATCCGAGACGGAGGTAACTCCTGACATCAGGCTTCGTGGCCTGAACAGGTAATCGAGGTCACACGGAAACACCGACTCGTCTCCAAACGCACCGAGTGGGTTCGCACTGATAACCTCCCATCAGTGAAAACAGATTAAAGATGAGTCGAGATGTTTACATGAATGTTCAGAGAAGGGTTTGTATATGCTTTTAGCTTCTCACCTCTGTCGCCACATAAGCTTTTAATGTGTGTGTGTGTGTGTGTGTAGCATGTAGGTGTAAGTGTGTTTAAATGTCGCTGTGTAAATATGACACCTTTTTAATTGCATCTGTATAGCAAATGCAAACACACATAAACATATAGTTACATATGTATAAAATTACTACTACTAACAGAAATAATAACACCGACTTATTAATCAGCTTTAATTTTAACAGAAAATTTTTCATTTTTGTCATAATTTCGGCTTCTAAATTCTTTTAGATTCATTAGATTTATATTTATTTGTTAGATTATCGCAGAAGTTGATTCAGTAGCTAAAAAATAAATTCTAAAGTTTGTTTACAAACATATCAACTCCTCTCTTCCCAACACGCGTATTCCTGAGAAACAGGAAGCGTTTCCTGGGGAACATCAAATGTGCTCATCAACCTTCCTACACCAGCAGCTTACTTCTGATTGGATCACTTCCAAATTCATCCCGCCCTCTGCACAGCTTCATTAGATGTGATTGGAGCTCGTCTCTCTAAAACGTTTTCATCTCGTTTTTATTTAGTCAATAAATTTCATTACGGTTTTTGTCCTCGTGCGTTCGTTTTCATTCAAGCGTTGATTGTTTTTGTCAGGAAAAGAAAACTATGATGAAACGTAATTAGTGGAAATCTAACCGTGTCGAGTTCATGCTAAGAGGAGCTTCATTCTGTGCGATCGATCATATTCGAGGAGTCTGTTTTCACTCATTGACATGTGAATTAATGGATTTGGGGGGTTTGAACTGTCCAAGAGCGACCTGTGCTTTCACGCTGCGAGTACCACAGATTAGATTCCAGTAACATCACCAGTAATCAAACCATTATGTGTCAAATTATGACAAAATGGTTAATTACGTGAGCCTTACGCAAGGATAGAGCTGAGCCGTTACACATATCCAATAACTGCAGAGGATGAAATACACATATTACTGTGGAGTTCATATTTAAGACGAATGGGGCTTAATTTTTTTGCAGAGTTTAATTATAATAATGAAAGAAAGTCAAAGAAGACCTTTTAGTCTGCTGTTAAAACCCCCGACACACACACACACACACACACACACACACAGTCGCTCAAGTCCCAGGGAAATCACAGAGATAGACCAACGCAGATCTTTGTTGACGTCACGTTGCCTGGCAACAACCCAGCATGCTTGGCTGTGACAAGCCGAGGTCTCAGCCCCGAAGTGCGATGCATCACGGGGGATTGCGTGCGCTACGTCTTACATCACCCACAATCCCCCTCACTGACGCAGCTGTAGTCAGGACTGCTGTTTGCAGCTGAGGTGCAATCGCGTCCATCATCAATGCGATTCACGCATCTTTTGATTTTTAATTACCTCTCGCTTTAGGAACAGATTCACCGTATATGTTCCAGTACATTTTTACCCCTCCCTGCTCCTCCCTGATCAAACCCCTGACCGCCTTTCTGTAGGTGAGGCTCATTACGCTCATCTGAGAGCGTGGAATTAAACCTCCTCCTCCAAACTCATTACTGTGAGCTAGATTTCACCAGCAGCAGATAGGCGATGCAGCGGTGCTGCTTTTAAAGCCAGAGCCAGATAATTAGAAACTTTAGAAGCACAGTTCCCATGGCTATAGCCAGAGCGAACAACTAATTCTATTTGAACTAATTACATTCCATAATGCTAGGCAGTGATTGCTACCCCAACCACAGCCTCCCGTATGTAACCCAGCAGAGGATTTCATCACAAAACACAACCGGAGATGTATTTTTCCGTATGTCATTGGCTGTGTGTTATTACGCACTGGCATCACACCCCCGCTCCCTCATAGCTGTTTGCATTTCATGCTACTAAACTCCTCCAGGGCCTCAATGAGACCAAGTCTCGCAGCACTGACGCTAACCTCCCAGGACAGCGCTGCCTCAGTGCGAGAGCTCCCAAAACACAATAAAAAAGATTTAAATCGATGCCTCGATGTATCGTTTTATCAGAATTTATTACCCCCGACCGCCTTTCTCTGGATTTAGACAAATGAGAGCAGCTCCCACAACCCGAGTGGATCAACAGTAAACAGACATGTTTTCAAATGACACATTTTCATTGCATAATAGGAAAGATCGGTCGGAGAACGTGTGTGTGCAGGACCATCTCCTCTGCTGCTGCCTGTACGCACATTGCACAATATTTTTAGACAATACAGGAAGTCTGCCTGTTAGTCAATATGTGTTTCTCCCCTTCTCTCTCTCTCTTTTTATGTGTGGAAGCTCGCTCGCCCAGTGAGAGGTGTTCAAGTCCAGACCAACAGACCAGGCAGACTAAATATAGCCGGCAGTGACAGCAGGGAACACTGTGCTCCCCCCTCTCTCGCTGTGGTGCTCGGCACTGCTGCTTCACTACAAACTACACTGATGAATTTAAATTGCTATCTGCACGCACGCACACACCGAAGAAGTTCACTTTCTGCCAAAACTGTGGCACACACGTATCATTCACACAAACGCAAAGATAAAAGGGACGCAGATTAATACACACACACACACACACACACACACACACACACACACACCATACCAGTCCAAATGGGATTTACTTAAGACTCAATAAAGCAGACAGAAGCACTATTGTCTCCAACACAGACCTATTGTGCTGCACAGAGACTGTGACGTGGGCCGACTGCGCTGCGTCTGTTTACTACACAGACAGCATTCCACACACACACACACGCCTCCCAAAGTAAATAGAGATGCACAAAGTGCACAAATGCACCATCAAACAAGCATTAAGAAAGGACTGGCGTGCACGCACACGCTCGCACACGCAGCATCAAACCCATCTCGCTCCAGTGGGAGTCTAACGGGAACTGAGTGATGAACAGGAGTGACACCACCACATGCCAGGGTGTGAGATGCGCTGCCTGGTATTTTAGGCTGCGTCTCAAATTGAACATGCCAAGCCTTCGGGGGAAAATCGTTGGATAATGTTCGTGCGAGAAGCAAACGTCCCGTTGCAATATCGCTTATAAAGGCAGCTGCGATATCTGGAACGGCACCGCAGAGAGGGCCGACCTCTACGCGGGCGCAAAGATGCAGCGCTCCGGTTTGTTTGCGTACCTGCTGCTGAGGATACTGCATCCCACCCATGCCCATTTGACCCCTCCCCTGTAGGCTCATCGGGTATCGATGCGGGGGAGGCGACGCGTAGGGCTGGCTGGGGGGATAGGGTCCGGCCCCCGGCTGCTGCGGGGCGGAGTAGGGATTGTTGGCCATGCCGTACAGCTGCGAGCGCTTCATAGCCATGAAGTCCATGGAGGAAACCTGCAGGGGAGAAGAAGAAGGGTTATTAATGCAAAGTCAGCATTTGGTTTTTGGCTAATACTTCATTCATGACAGTGCATTGTAATTGCCCAAGAGGCGTTCAAATTAATTCATCCGCTATCTGCCAAGTTGGAACCCCTAACTGAAGTCCACTTAGTGCACCACTCCAAACCACAGCCATCGCTGATTTATTTCATAATTGCACAACGAGCGAAAGCTTTAAATTAATGTCAACAGATCATAAATGAACAACAAATGGAATTAAATAAGCAAAGATGTGTATTGAATAGCTATTTGGAGCAAAACTCTGCTGGAAAAGAGCCAAAATAAAATGATTTAATTAAAAGCTAAAAGCTCGTATCTTTGTTTTAATGTCTCTGAGGCTTTTACAAGTGTGGTAAATGTTGTTTAAAGCAACAGGAGGCAACGGCAATAAAAACCTATGGCCGCGTTCCTGCAACCAGAGCCCCGCGGTGCCAATAACCGCCGTACGACTCGTGCTATACGGCTGCTTACAGCGAACTGGCAGATAAAGCGATAGTTATTCTATTACTGCGGTCCAGTTTATGTACTTCCGAGTTTAAGTAAAGGTTGTGGATGCAGGGGCGTGGATCCAACCTTTTGTGACGGGTCATTTCAAACTCGCAAGCTCGAATCCCAGGAGGGAATTCAGAGAGCAAAGCAGTCGGGGCCTGCTCCCCAAAGCCACACCTGGAGAGCTCGCTTCCCATACGAGCACAGAGGAAAACCAAAGCCGGGACAGAGAATGTGTCAAGGGTAATTTATTCCATTGTAAGTACTTCGGAGCCCTTTTACGGGTTGTTTGGGGTCCCAGTGAGCCATTGGAAAATTCCGGTACAGTGCATCAGGCTAATGCTAATCCGTCACCCGCGGCGGCGTGTTTGTCTGTCTGCTGGGCAGATAATGCAGACTTCTTCTATCTCCCCTCTTCTTCTCTTTTGTCTGCGCCGCGTAGGATCATGAGTGATTTATGACACTTTGTTCCTACTGTGTCTCACACACACACACTTTCACTTCTCCTCTCTCATTTCCAACTAACCGCCACCGACCCCCCCGCACCGCCTCTTCTTTCTCTTCCACCACCAGCTCCCTCCTCAGTTCCCTCCCTTCTCCCCAACTCAATATCACCTCGTCTAGAGCGGAGGAGAAATTGCCGCTGCCTCATATTGCCAGGCTAATATCAAGAAGACATGTCAGGGGATGGGAGCACTTTATTCAGCAGGTTACGTGGACAGTTATGGCGGTCCAGCATTAAAGCGGTCGTGCCTACTGAGGCGTGCACGTGGAATAGTTTGGAGGGGGGAAAGAGGGAGAAAGTTAGCGCTCTTAAGGTTATTTCACAGCAGGTGTGTGAAGAGACGGGACTTTCCTGCAAAGGTCTGCGTCGCCGGATTTGTAACAGTCTAATAATGAACTGCAGACACTCGCTGCCCTTTGCTTTTCTTCCTCCATGCATGAAAAACAAAGTGAATCATCCCCCGTGTGAGGGAGGAGGAAGTCACCGAGTGCACCAGCAGAAAGGATCGACAATGAAACATTTAAGCAGAAGAGGAAACGCGACATCTAATCTGACAAAATGATTGCCAGCATTAAACTGAAGAACATTAGGGAAGAATTAAAGTTATGAACCATTGTGAGGAGAACAAGTTTTAAGATGTTTCTGATAGAAAAATCTGTTTTTTACTGACAGACGGAGCGTTTTCAGAGAAAAGTTTGACTCGTCGTATTGTATGCTTTTTCTTCTTATTGCTCAAAGAGACAATAAAGAGCATGACTGAGTGAGCTGCTCAGAATACTACAATACAGCTAAAGCAGAGTGAGCTCTAAGTGCATCAGCGCAGTAATACAGAGTTAAACCAGCTGAACATCAAAGGGGAGATTTGTTGAGAGTATTTTGTTGATATGCTCAAACTGATGCCGGTCATATGTTTCAAATAATGGAGCGGAGGGCAGCGCATGACCCGCTCGCATGTTTGCACACAGACAGCACACAGACAGCACTACGCGATGAAACGTCCTCGAGTTTCTGAAAATCCAGGGCACTGTGCCACCCGTGATATGGGACACACACACACCCTCCCCAACATCCAGTTCACCAATCCAGCTCAAGAGGTCCTCGGTTTGCCAAAAACGCTGAGCGCAACACAAATAAATCCCCCACACGCTGCCGAGTGTGCACGCATACAAAAAACATTAAACGCTGCACTTACAGAGGTACTGAGGACAGAAAATAACCTCAGAGTTTTTGGGAGCGGAGAAGTGGACACTCGATTACACACATGCACATAATCCACGGCTGCAGAGGACACGGCGCTGGTGTGCACCTTCATATCTGCTCATAACTGTGGACATAAACACTGTGCAGCTCTGCACCTTCATAATGTGTCGTTTTACAATTATTTGTATTTTGTATTTGATGATGACGGGTGCAGACGTTAGTCCTGATTAGGGTCTAATTCCTGCCTCGCGAGCCCACTGCAGGTCCTTGAAGAGAGGCCAGGGCGACAGTGGACTCAGGAGGCCCACTTCCACTCGCCGGATCTTGCAAACTCTTTCACTTTCTGCCATCTTGGCTTCTGAAC